TGTCAATCAACATCTCCAGTTACCTTGATCTACCCACTATCCTTCTCCTCATCCTTTCTCCTATCACTCCTATCTGCTCTCGCTCCAAATCTTCCGCAACCTCCTGCATCCTAGTGGCTTCACGCCTTGCTTGGGGCGTAATGCTTAAAAAAAAAATCATTGCCGATCTGACCTCAAAATAGCACCAATCCGCATGAACGGATGACCCCTCGAGGAGGAACACTACCTTGAAAGACTCTTCGGCCTCAAACTGGCACCTCAAGTGGATCTTATACATACGATCCATTGATAAGGATTCAGGTAAAATGATCGGCTCCTTGCACCGCTCCATTAAGTACCTGACTACGCCTGCTATCGTCGAGCCAGGTCAGGCCGAAAATGGAGTCAGACAGTCAATTATGTGCCATGTGTGATACACGCTTAGGCGATCATGTATCTTTCGATACATGACTGACAAGGCAGATTATTTCCAGCAGCAGGTTGCCATTTCTTTCTGCGGTCGACCAGTAGGATCCACTCGAACAGCTTTTTCAAGCAAACAACAACTCTGTGGAAAAGACTCGCAACAGGATGTTTCCCCGATCATTAAACGTAGCCCCCTAACCCGAGTGTTCCCCAGGCCTTGTACAGAGTGACTGTAAATAAATACAAAAATAATTACATAGTTAATAAATACGTAAGCAAATACTGAAAAAAACAAAAAAACAAAACAAACGTATAAGTATTTTTAATCAATTCTAATTCTAGAAATGTTCTTTTAAAAAATTAATATACCCTGATAAATGATCGCCTTTGACTCTCTTAACAGTGCCAACATTTAGAACCATGACAATAGTTCCACCTAACATTACTTTCTTCTGGTTGGCCTGATAAACTATACATGTATGCATGATGGCTATGGTGTAATGGTTAGCAAGCTGGACTTATGACAACTAAGTGTTCTGTTAGTTCAATCCTCACTGCGTACCTCCATACATTCGGCCTTGTGCCACATCAAAGCTAGGCTTAGAAAATTAACATGCATAATGACTCGATCAACGGGTATGGCGATAGCTGACAAACTTTATCAATGTTTTTAGTTCTCGTTACAACGATAATGGCTCTTGAAGCCAGCAAATGACTTGTAAAGCTGGTTGCAGATGTGTTGTTAGACACTCAAATCATTTATAATGTTATTTTTTTTTTATTTCTGACAACCCAGTCAGCGGAAGATCTTAACCCAAGAAATGAAAAAAAACAAAAACAAAAAAAAACATGCAGTCATTGTTGCTTTAGCTGCCAAACATAGTGATTTAAATATCAATAAGTTTTTTACATGTTACCAGATCATTTGTTCATAAGGTTCGGTTGGAGCTAGAGGGATGTGATGGCAATGTTTCCCATGTAGCAAAAAGAAAAAAAAATTCATTCACAGCTCTCTGATAACGTGAGAACAACAGAATTTATACGGAATGTTTAAAACATCATCGATGAGAACTCCGGAAGATCAATGAGGTCCATCACCAAAGAACTCCAGATATCAGAGTGGACTATCAGAACCGTGGTACATCAGGACATTCGATATAAGTCATATGTAATGAGGAAAGGCCAATTCATATCGGTGAAGACACAGGAAAACCGTCTCATGCCTTCAAAACGGTTGCTGAACAAGGTGAAAAATCCCCGCGAACAAGGCTTGCTTTGGTTTTGACCAAAATCAGAAATCAAACAGACGGAATGACAGGTGGCTATGTGCATCTCCTTCTGAAGTACCCAGGGTGATGCACCCAAATATCCGGCTAGTGTGATGGTTTTAAGGAGTTGTGAGCAGTGAAGGTCATGTCATGCCACCTTATATTTTCCCACAAGGTCTTAGGGTCAATGCTGCTGGATATATTAATGATCATAAAACGGTTGTTAAACCATGGATGAATAAGGTATGCAATGGAAGGCCATATGTCTTTCAATAAGACTCTGCATCTTCTCACAAAGCCATTGTAACCCTAGGATTGGTTATCAGAGAATTTTGACGATCATGTGAACCTAACATGTGGTCCCCTAACTCGCCAGATTTAAATCCTATGGACTATTACGTGTGGAGCGTCGTTGAAAGGGAGACTAATCGGCATCCTCATAGTACCATAGCTGCACTGAAGGCCGCCATTGTCCAGATGATGTCCAAAATGAATAGGGACTACTTAATTGCAGCTTGTGGACGGTTTTGAGCCCTAATAGAAGCAGTCATTGAAGCCAAAAGTGGTTTCATAGAATAATTAGATAAATAAGTATCATGAAGGATATTTGTGTCAATTTGAATTAAATATATAAATTGTTTGCTAAGATATTGCTGTTTATTTAACTTACTAAAAATGTCCTCAAATATCACTTGCACCCTATATATATATATATATATATATATATATATATATATAATGTTTTGAATGGGCGTATTCCTGTATTGGAGGATGGCTCTTGCTGCACGATAATTGTCCAACGATCCTTGGGCTCCTGCGTTGCCATTTACGATTCTCTTGGCCGTTTTGACAGCAAGCTCTGCCCGACCATTGGATTGTGGGTAACCAGCAGATGATAACCTGTGTTTAACAGCCCAGTCTTATAAAATTGCTTGAATGTAAGGGATGTGAAGGGTGGCCCACCATCAGTGCTGAGTTCCTCGGGAGCACCGTAGGCTTGAAATATGTCTCGGCAAATTGAAATAATCCTGTTCGCAGCGCCATGTAGAAAAATCACGTGGTAGAGATAAACACTCAGTTGTGGAGCAAGCTAAGTGAATAATAATCCAACCTTTAGAAAGAGAGCTATTTATGGTGCAATGGAGCATCTCATTGTGCTAAAGTGGGATAGTCCATTGCTTGGGCTGTGATTGGCTGCTGGTACCTGAGTGGAGGTATTTCTATATAAATACCAGCTTGATTCATCAGTTAGTTTGCAGGGTTTGTATTAAGTTACAACCTGCTTTATTTTTGTCTGCCAGCTGGACGCTAGCTGGTACCTTTACTCCGGTAAGTGCTGTTTATTATTGTTATTCTACAATATATATATATATATATATATATATATATATATATATATAAGTGGACTTTGAATCAACACTGCAGGGTGACTGTCAGTTTTACGTTTCAAGCGATCTCAGGTATGAGTATTCATTTAACAGTTTCGATACAAAGACCATTGGAGGATTAAATGAAGTAAGGGAAGGAGGACGCTGTCTTATTTTAGTTCTTTTATTTAGAACTAAAACAGATCATTAATAGTGACGGCCTTTAGCTTGTTTATTTTATTCATGTATCTATATAATAAATGCGAATATCTGTGTGCCATTGTGTCAGATCTTTCAATTAAAGGGACTCAACTCCGCAACTTTCAATAGCTCATCCTCTTCTTCTATATAAAAAATTCTAATGTCAGCTTGTCACTGCATCACACTTTTTCAAATAAAAGGACACAACTCTCTAGATTTCAGTAGCTTTATATAATAAATGTGAATGTCAGTGTGTTACTGTGTCACAGTTTTTCAACTAAAAGCCCTTAGACACTCAAATCATTTATAATATTATTTTTTTTTATTTCAGACAACCCAGTCAGAGGAAGATGTTAACCCAAGAAATGAAAAAAAAAAAATGCAGTCACATGCCAGAGAGAGAGAGAGAGAGAGAGAGAGAGAGAGAGAGAGAGAGAGAGGGGGGGGAGTGGAAATTGAAAGAGAAATAGATGAGAACAAAGTTGACAGTAGATTTGTGTGTGTGTGTGTGAAAGAGAGAAAGAGCGAGAGAGAGAGAGGGGGGGCAAAGCAGAAAGTGAAAGAGAAAAGTGCTTTTCTCTAGATTTCAATAGCTCATCTTCTATATAATAAATGTGAATGTCAGTGTGTCACTGTGTCACAGTTTTTCAACTTTACTCCTAGAGGACGTAGCACAACATATTAAAACCATTTTCGAATTTAGGCCGTCTTCGTGAGAAAACTAAAACCATTCTGGACTGGATCCGGAGCCCCAATCCTGAAATTTTGGATTCCCAAGTTTTCATAACAGCGATTGATTTCGAAGAATTTTTTACGTGATTTTTTTGTACGATAACAATTTTTATAACTTGGAAATACATTTGAGAATTATTGAAATTAATTACAAAATCCAGCGGAAGACACACATGAAAGAAAAATAACTGTTTGTACGAAAAGTAAGGACCTACGTACATCAAATTCTCTTTAAATTAAGTGACGCCCAAGAATTATCGTTGGGACTTTTAAAAGGTAAGCTTAAATATTAATGCAATACTTAAATATTTCTTCTGTAGTTTATTTTTGCCTATCACCTCTACTACTGTTGTGATGAGGGCGTAGGCCGAGGCGGCGGCGGAGCTCGGTGGTAGGGACCCGGTCGACGCGTCGGCAGTGCAGGATGCGACGGAGGCAGTCGTTGTCGAACACCTCCAGTTTGCGCCCTCTGCCCGCAGTCCTTCTTCAACGGCGTCTACGATGGTTCGGACACGCTGCGCGCCGGTCGAGAGGGGAGCTGATACGGGACGTTCTCCTTCCCACACCGCCGTCCACTTGGCAGAAGCGGATAGGCGGACAGCTGAAGACGTGGGCCTCAACGATCAAGGAGGATCTGGCGTTACTTTCCGGCCCGCATGTGGTCGGCCTCCGCCGCTGGAACCGCGACTGGCTTACCATCTCGTGCGACCTCGCGACAGACCGACGGGCGTGGGCAGCAATGGTCCGTGATGCGGTGCGTCAACAGGAAGAAGCCGGCTCAATCCACCCAGGGTGAATGCCGCATCAAGACAAGAAGAAGAAGAAGACTGTTGTGATGAAGGCCTAATCAAGTGCCCTCCAAAGGAGATGATTTAAATCCCACCCAATATATATCTCAATTATTTATTTGCTTTTATATTTTTATTTGATTCTAAATTTTGACATTCGAAATAAAGTTTGAATTAGCCTTTGGGGTTTTTATTAAGTCGTTTTGTTGATATGGCTGTAGATAGCGTAGTAGGAATTTATGCTACTCTATCTATCTATCTATCTATCTATCTATCTATCTATCTATCTATCTTCACAAGATATTCAAATAAGAATACGTATTTAGTAACGGGAATCGGACAACTTTTTACCAATACTGTCCTGGAAACTTGAAATCAACTCTCTTGTTGACAACGTTGATTAACAAGCTACAGTAATCAGTCTAGATAATTGTCTAGAAGTCTTCCCTGATGCCTCGTGTCTAATTACTCGGTTTTAATTAGTCCTTTTGATTGGTCAGTGTCGTTATTATTCCTTTTTCGACGACGAACAGCTGCTTGGTATAATCTCCAAGAAATAATTCTAATCAACAGTCCTGGACTTGTAAAGACAAATTCAAAGACAGCGAGAAAAAGATAAAAAAGGCCATTGATAGCGTCCGTTTTGCGCCTTTGTGTTCGTGTGTGTGTGTGTGTGTGCGCCTAGGAGTGTTAGAGAGAGAGGGAGTGAGAGAGACAGAGACAGAGTGACGGAGAGGGAGAGAAAGAGAGAAAGAAGGGGTGAGAAGGAGAAGGGGACAGTGGAAATTAAAAGAGGAAGATCTAACGAGAACAAAGTTGACAGTAGGTTTGTTTGTGCACGTGTGTGTGAGTGCCAGAGAGAGATAGAAAGAGAGAGAGAGAGAGAGAGAGAGTGGGGGAGAGTGGAAATTGAAAGAGAAATAGATGAGAACAAAGTTGACAGTAGATTTGTGTGTGTGAAAGAGAGAAAGAGCGAGAGAGAGAGAGAGAGAGAGAGAGAGGGGGTAGTGGAAATTGAAAGAGAAAGGGATAAGAATAAAGTTGATAGTGTGTGTATATATATATATATATATATATATATATATATAAGTGAACATTGAAGTCAACACTCAAAGGCGATAGTCTGTTTTATGCTTAAACGCAATCGTCAGCTCTTTTATATTTATATACGCTCAATGTCTGATATTGATCACCTTAAACCATAAATATAGTGTACTATAACAATATATTTTGTCATATAATCTATTTCTCTTATATATATATATATATATATATTTAATATATATATATATATATTTATAATAAAAAGAATTATGAAAATAAATTGTAAAACTCTCCCTTCCCTCTCTAAACTCGACCATGTCTCTAACACTATTCCTCACCACTTATGTCAAATTATATAAGCTTAATACTGCCCGTCAAAAGTGTAAATTTTAAATTCATTTTTCGTTTAACCTTTTGAAAGTCAAATCTGAAGATCCAGAGAAAAATAAAATTCTCTGGTGAAATAAATTATAACAAATGAAGCCTTAAATTGGTCTATATATATATATATATATATATATATATATATATATATATATATATATATATATATATATATATATGCTGTTTTAAGCTATTTTTATAGATACAATTTATTTAAGTAAATGCTCTGTTTTTAATTAAACAGTATTAATTACATCTACCGTCGTGAATTTTCGAGAAATTTCGTAGAAAAAAATCGTTCTTCGACATGAATGGAACCTGAATCTACCGACCTAGATTTCACCACATGGGGTCATCAGGGTGAACTGGCAGGTTTTTTTTTTATCTTTGTACCAGAGATTTAAGTTACTGGACGATTTCTTTCGTCCTGTTCAGAGGTTTCTATTGCTTTTCCTTATTTTTTCAATTTTTCCTCGAATGCCAATTTGTTTGAAAATTGTGCTATGTAGGTCTTTTCTCCCACCAAGTTTAAATAGATTTACATTATATATATATATATATATATATATATATATATATATATATATATATATATATATATAATGGATTCTCCCGTCGGTTTCGAAGTATGAGGATCTACCAGCTTATTGATTCAGTTATGAAAGATTATGCGATAATCTTAAGTAGCATTTAAGGCCCCTAGTGCTAGTGATTTACAAGGATATATATATATATATATATATATATATATATATATATATATATATACAAATATAGATAACTATATTCGTTTCGAAAAAACCCTCGAATTTTTGATTTGCCAATAATCAAATCAATCTCGAAAAAAAAAAGGTTTTAAAAAAAGAAAGAGCTAGAAACACGAAAGTCTGTCAAAAAAAAATCGCACAGATGCAGGTTTGAAGCCCAAAGAAAAAAACCCGATACGAGTAAACAACTAACTAACAAAAGAGCTCAATACAAAGTTAGAGCAGACCTAGATAAACCTAGCCGGCTTTCCCTGACGATCCGTTTAGGTGAAACCTAGGTAGGTTTGTCTGGCTCACTAGGTTTATCTATCTATCTATCTATCTATCTATCTATATATATATATTTATATTATTACTCTTTTAGTCCTGTGACTATGAGTTTAGCTGATGTAGTATGTTTCTGTTCATGGAAATATATTGTGGCTATTTGTAATGAATAAAACTTTTATCTATTATTTGTGTTTCATCTACAATTTACAACGTATGTTTATGCAACAAATTTATTATAAGTTTTATTTGAATGAATAATTTTATCTTCAGCTCAAGTTTTGATTTAATGTATGTTGTGCCGGAAGTTGCCTGTTAAGTTATTTTGTCAGCAGTACGACAATATTTTAGATAATTATAATACTATAAGTATTTTTATATTGGGGTGTATGTAAACATCCCAGGAAACTATATATATTTTTGGAAATCTCATAACGAGAAACATTTAATTTGAATGAAAAAATACAGTAAAAGTAATTTCTCACCAGTAATATTTAATATTTAATTTAGACAAATTGAATAATAAGCGTTAACCTCCTTTCATCGATCTAATTATTTAATAGCAAATTAGGAAATCGTTGACTTGCCCACTGGATAAATACATCGTGTCATTTCTGCGTGCCTGTAAAACTCAGAACGCCTCCTGTTTTTTTTTTTTTTTTATCATTTCATCCCAAGCAAGATGATAATGCAACAAAGACTCATCGCATTTTTGGGAGTGAATGCTAATGGGAAGACTTTATTGATGAGAAAGGACAATAGAAGAACAGGTTTCAGGAAGACGGAACACTGACGTTGCATTTAAACTTTTGAAGATTGTAGGTGACAGCGAAGCAGGAAACTGGAAGAGAGTTCCACAGTCGAGAAGTGCGAGATCCCCGTCGGTAGACATATTCAGTAATAAGCGTTAACACATCGGCGGTTGACCTGGCGAAACGAAAGCCATATTATTTCTCTGAAAGAAGGCCGTCTTAAGTGGTGCTTATTCAACTCTGGTGGACGCCTGCTCAAGGCCAAATCCGATAACCAACCACAAAAGCAGCCGAAATAAGGATTACATTTTCCTTTATTACATAAAAAAATCAGATGTATTTAAAAAAAAAAAATTAATTTAAAACAATATTCTTATAGTGATAAAATATTGAAGGATGTGCGGGTGGTATTGTAAATAGCGGCTCCGAATGCGAAACCAGAGAGGCGAGTTCGAATTCAAGTTCGTTATATTCGAAAAAGTTTAAATCCAATCCTTCTCCCCCAGCTATGGGTTAAATAGCCGGAGCTATATCTAGAGCAATCATTGTTGTTCACAGTAAGTTTTAATGAATATTCATTCACAAAAAAAAAAAAAATTCTTATAATCCCAACTCTATTTCGGCTTTAAATATTACAGCTTATCACCCCGATCAAAGCAACAGTTCCCGTATGATCCCGGAAGTTAAGGGACGCCGAATCTGACCAGTGCCTAGATGGTGACTTCTTGGGAATACCAAGTACTGTAAGCCCGGATGTGGTGTAATGGATAACGGTTCAGGAATGTTAGAGTGGCGAGTTGTAATTCCTGTTGGGTTGGGCACTTCAAGGCGGTGTAATGGTTAGCAAGCTTGTCTCGCTAGAACAGTTACGACTGAGTAGTGAGTTCGATCCTAACTGGGTGCCCCATACTTTCGGCCTTGTGCCACATCCGAGCTACGCTTGGAAAATTGCTAATTCCCGTTGGGTTTCTTATAGTTACTTACGCCCAAATATTCATGGGAAATATAATCCGCCTCTTCTCCCCCACCCCACAAAAAATCTTGTATCTGTCTATATCTCTGAGATGAAGGATTATGATTATTTACATTATTCGGACCGTTATCCTTATCTTCTTCAGGTGATTGGAACTTCGAACCGAAACCTTTATATCGACCACCGGGGTAGATTGTTCTAGTTCCACGCGCCATGCCTCTTCCGGATGTCTCAGTGAATAAAGGCGTTGGTTAGATCCAGTGACTAGACCAAAAGAGTGGTGAGTTCACTAGCAGGCTATAGCAGTGGTGAAAAAAAAACTTGGAGGGTTAAGTTAAAGGGAAATAACTGAGACAACCCTAAGAGGCATGTCACGTGGAACTAGAACAATCTACTCCGTTGGACGAAATAAAGGGTTCAGTTCGAAATTCCAATCACCAGAAGAAGGCCGTAGCCCACAACGGCCGAAACGTGGTGAATATGGCAATGAAGATGAGGATGACAGTCCGAGTAATGTAAATAAATAAATTCTTACAATCTAAAAATATTCTCTGGCTTTAAATAACCTGCGAAGGGTTGATAAGCCGCAGAAACCGAATCAATCAATCAAATCCATCAATTATAAAAAAAAATGATTGACAGCTTACACTGAATAATTACTCACGGCATTTTTCTAATTTATTTGTAGTTAGCGAAAAGGTAGATAGTGTCCCCCCCCAAAAAACCCCAAATAAACAAAAAAACAAATAAACACTAGATATGTATATATGTAAAATGTGCGTAAGAATTAATAAATCGAGGTAAGTAAGAAATGTAGAGGAGATATGAAAGATTGTTTTCTTCGACATAACTATTTCTTTGTGCAGTAAAGTTTTGTGTATAGAAAGTTGTGTAAACATGTGACATATTTTCAAACCTGTAGTTAGCGCAACAAAGCGAAAGTGAAAGTAGCCAATCACGATCAAAGCGTTTCACTTGATGTAAACATTCGCGTTGATAACAGTTTCTCTTTGTTAATTATTAGTCTTTAAAGCCGGCTGATACATAAAGGAAATTTACATATATATCCTTTTAGGTGGGAGGTTACAAGTATGTCTGAACGTTTATCAATTTACATACAGGATCCTATCT